GCCTCGGGGAATGTTTTGAAGAAAATCCCGGCATGAATTTGTACGGGTTTCAAAATCTCTTTCACTTAATTCCTGCACTACCATCATTTTGTACGGATGCATTTGTGTAAAATTCTTCTATCGGAAATTCCCAAAGCAGCTGCATGCTTACAAGCTGAACGCCTTGGAGACTGTTGTACGGAATCTCTTACTGCATTCACATTTTCGGTGTTCTTACTGTCCTTGGTCGGCCAGTAGATTTTCGTTTAAGCGCAGAACCTGTTTCCCTGAAGTGTAAAACCCACCGACGAATTGTTCTTCCATCCGGAACCGCGCCATGTCGACCAACATCAAACTGATTACGGAAGGCACGCTGCGTCGCTATTATAGATTCCCTATTTCTAATAAACTCCTCGACAACGAAAGCACGATGCACTCCGCTTCAAGCCATGTCGATAACTGAAAATTGCAGACTTTTGTCTACCTAACGCGACCGCGTGCACAGTGTTGCCGGTTTTACAAACAGAGCAACCACTATTTGAAATCCTGCCTACCTTTTTGCCGCACCCTGTATATATACAGGCTGTTACAAATTCGCTTCTCACTACAGGGATCTCGAAAACGGTAAGAGATACAAACTAGCTTAAATGGGGGCAAAGTTGCGTAATCAGGGGACCGACATTATCCCTCTAAAAAGTCAAGGCTAACATAATTAGTTTTCGAAATATTTGAAAAAACCGAAATTTAGAAAATCCGTTTTTGTTTCATTGCAGCCTTGTTTGAGGTGTTATTGAAAAAAGAAGAACACTTTCTCATGGCCACTTTTCGCCCTCTATCGAATGACATAATCAATTTTTATATGTAACGTTTCGTCTCTCCAGGACTATCATCAACTTCATTTTTTTAAATATGACCCTGAAAATTTTATTACATTTTTTGCAAGCCTTCATGACCCCCAAGTCTCAGCCTCAGTTCGAACCAGATTCAGACGTTTTGTCCCGAAAAATTCATCTTCAGTGTATTTGTTCCAAATGTATCTAAATTTTTTATTTAGATTTCTTTGTTTATTGAATTATCGTACACTGTAAGTGACTTTAGATCCTGTGAAATCCATCTAGTTGTTTAATCTATTACCACCACGCATTAAAATAAAACATTATTAGAGTTTTATTTCCGTGTCCATAATTATTTCTAGGCTTCTTGAGTGCTCAAAATTCAAATAAATTCCGATCTATTTTTATCAGGATATTCATACAAATACATCTGATATTCTCTTTCACAGTTGCGGTTATAGATATAAGCTTTGAATAGTCCTTTCAAATTGTAATTTTTCAAATTTCAGTTCATTTTAAAGGTTTTTCAAAGTACTTTAAAAAAGCTACAAATAGTTTTTTTCTTAATATTTATGGTTTTGACGTTATTTAACGTTAACTGGTTCCAATTTAGTTTTTAGCTAACATATAATAATGTTTAAAAAGCCATAACTCTGTTTATATTGCAATTAGAGAAAAACAAAATAATGCCATTAGATTTGTTTTTTTTATTACCTTTCTTTTTGTTCATTACAACTTTTCCGTTAAATCCAATGGTTTCAGATTTGCAAAAAACTGTCCGAAAACAAGCACTTTTTTAGTAAAAAATCAACATTTTCAACGACAAATTACTCGGAAAGTATTGGATTATCCAAAAAACTTTATATAACATTTGTTACTTCAAATTGACTCCTCTATCGATTCCTGTGGTTATTTTAGGCGTAAAAATTTCCACCCCCAGGGCAAAAGCACACTTCGGCACTATATAAGTTCTGTTCCTTGAGGCATTCCCCACATTCAGTCAAAATTTCACGTCAATCGGTTCAGTTATAAAGAATTCGGAGGTAAAAACCCTGAGTAACTGAACTATTAATGTTTGACAGACATTTAATTGATCTATAGACCAGGCGGTATCTGTTTTAAAAAGGGTATACTTGGGTAAAACGCATATGATCGGAGATTTTTGCTTTAACGGCTTCTAAACAACATCAGAAATGATAATTTTTCTATGCAAATAAAAAAAACATGGGCTTAATTTTTAATGCAAAAAAGTATAAAAAAATAGCAAATAAAAATAATTTTTTTCTTGGATTTCTCGGCGACAACTTAGCAACTATTCATTTTAGACAAAAATGGAAGAGGAAAAAATGTTTTGTAATTAAATTTTGATCAAGATAGAGGTAGTTGCAATTCGAAAAAATAATTATTGTTATTGCAAAAATCGGAAAAATCATTTAAAAAATTGCAAAATATGCTAGTTTATTTGTCAATTTTTTCCAGACACTTGAATAATACCTACGATCTTCATACTTTTCCCAATTAAACTTCTTAGTGTATAGAATCATCACACCAAAATTCATTCAATTCGGTTTGATAGTTTTTACATAATAATTGTTTAAATTTTTTATATTTTTTAAATTAAAAAATTTTCAAAATCAAATTTTTAAAAATCTAAAACCTTTGAATACTTGAAAATTTCACCACAGAAAGAAGAGCTGTCAAGCTTTAAAATGATTTTTGAAAAATTCAAATCGGACGATTAGGTGAACCGTGGTGACTGTTTAAACATTGTCGCAATTTTCACGCTTATAAACAATTGCAATAATTTAATGTTTTTTTCAATTTTTTTTTTATTTTAAAATATGGTTTGAAAGTACTCGGAAAGACGAGTATTTAAAAAAAACCTGATGATCCGCCCATTATTTTCGGAGTTATAGCCCGTTAAAGTTAACCCTTATTTACAGCAAAACTATAAGGGTATAAGGGCTGTTTTTTGAACTAATAGGTTTGTCATTCCGAGTACTTTCCAGATATAAATTTTCAAAATTTGCAATCACGGGCGTCCCATTTAAAATGTCACTCAAAGATATTCAAGACCGCGTGAAATCAATGAGGTATCAGTGGTGGGGGGAGCAAACACACAGCTACTCCGATCTGAATTCTCGAGTTCAAAACTGCGACGCTCGGAAAAATTTCACTTATCTCAGCTTCTAATGGACCAATTTCGATGATTTTTTTTTAAATCGATGTCTCGCAACTTAAAAAATTCAATTATCATATTTTCAACTACCTTTTATTATTAATTATTGGACTTTTGACATGCCGATAAACAGTTACTTTAAAAAATGATTAATTTATTATGTTTATTTATTTACTATGTTAATATTCACGACCAAAATTTTTGCATGTTGCACCAGGTAATACTAGTAAGTTTGTTTAAATATTATAAAATTGTTTAAACAATAATTATTTAAATAAACAACTGAAAATTGGTATTAATTTTTAGTTGTACGATAAATTTCTAAAAATCTTAAAAAAAAATAAATTGTGAATAATTATAATTTTAATTTTTTCGTTTACTTTTAAAATATTCATCTAAAATTTATTTTTTATTTATATAAAAAAAGTATAAGAATCTTTTAGATACTTCAATAAACAGTACACACTTTTCATGATTTTTCAAATTTTAAACTATTTATTTCAATATCTATTTATATTTAATCTAATCTAATTCTTTTACTAGTTGGTGGTTTTTCAAATGCCTCATCAGTATTATCACAATCTATTTCGTCGTCGATTTACTCGTCCTGCGACTGCAAAATATCATTTTCTAACGATTCTGAAATCTGACTGTCGAGTTCGCTTGCACTTTCTTCTGAAATGTCTTCTTCAAAATCGATTTCGAACTCGTCTACTTCCACTATTTTGTAAACATTTTTACACATTTGCCCTTGGCAATGGGTGCAATACTCAGAGCATTTTTGAACTCGAGAATTCAGATCGAAGTAGCTGTGTGTTAGCTCCCCCCCTCACTGATATTTCACTGATTTCACGCGGTCTTGAATATCTTTGAGTGACATTTAAAATGGGACGCCCGTGATTGCAAATTTTGAAAATTTATATCTGGAAAGTACTCGGAATGGCAAACCTATTAGTTCAAAAAACAGCCTTTATACCCTTATAGTTTTAGTGTAAATAAGGGTTAACTTTAACGGACTATAACTCCGTAAATAATGGGCGGATCATCAGTTTTTTTTTAAATACTCATCTTTCCGAGTACTTTCAAACCATATTTTAAAATAAATAAAAAATTGAAAAAAAACATTAAATTATTGCAATTGTTTATAAGCGTGAAAATTGCGACAATGTTTAAACAGTCACCACGGTTCACCTAATCGTCCGATTTGAATTTTTTAAAAATCATTTTAAAGCTTGACAGCTCTTCTTTCTGTGGTGAAATTTTCAAGTATTCAAAGGTTTTAGATTTTTAGAAATTTGATTTTGAAATTTTTTTAATTTAAAAAATATAAAAAATTTAAACAATTATTATGTAAAAACTATCAAACCGAATTGGATGAATTTTGGTGTGATGATTCTATGCACTAAGAAGTTTAATTGGGAAAAGTATGAAGATCCTAGGTATTATTCAAGTGTCTGGAAAAAATTGACAAATAAACTAGCATTTTTTGCAATTTTTTAAATGATTTTTCCGATTTTTGCAATAACAATAATTAATTTTTCGAATTGCAACTAACTCTATCTTGATCAAAATTTAATTACAAAACTTTTTTCCCTCTTCCATTTTTGTCTAAAATGAATAGTTGCTAAGTTGCCGCCGAGAAATCCAAGAAAAAAATGAATTTTTTTGGTATTTTTTTATACTTTATTGCATTAAAAATTAAGCAAACGTTTTTTTTTATTTGCATAGAAAAATTATCATTTCTGATGTTATTTAGAAGCTGTTAAAGCAAAAATCTCCGATCATATGCGTTTTACCCAACCCGATACAGATACCGCCTGGACTACTAGTACTATTACCAAATCCTCTAAATGGTGAAAATTATTTGGAATTAGAACTAGAAAAAACAAAGAAAGTTTGGCTCATGCAATTAGGATACTCTGGAGGCACAGAATAAAAATTAGTAAAATTTTATAATTTTTAGTTTCTCAGCATGCCTCTACACAACAATATAGTTAGTAAATATTTACCTGGGATTTCTTGAAGTGGCTTCGTAACATATTACCAATATTTTGTGTATGTGATAAATCTAAAGCTGCATCAACTTCATCTAAAATATATAATGGTGCTGGCTTGAAAAGTAACATAGCTAATATAAGCGACAATGCTGCTAAAGATCTTTGTCCACCACTCAGTTCTGTTAAACTATCTTTCCATACTCCACCTAGTGATACTTTAACCTAAAATTATTCACATAAGTATTTTTTTTTCATGTTTTGTACAGGTCATTAAGTGATTAATTAAAAACCATAGTACGCTCTATTACTCGAAACAACAATCCCTAAAAGGTTCTCCTTTTAAGGAATTCCAAAATTCCAAAGTTTGTAAAAGGGTCTAATTTTTTCCAAAAAACTTTATGAAAGTTTGACTTAAGGCTGTTTTTTCCCACTCCCAAGTAAATTTAACTGTCAATTAATTCTGTGTGTGTCACTTTCTTATGCATGTATTCCTTACGAGATAGAGTAGATTTACCTGCCAAATAAATTTATTAGATGAAAAAAAAAGGCCTTAAATGAAATTTAGTATGCTAGTACTTGAGCAATTTTTAACAGAGTAACTGAAATAATTAAATTTATGGAAATAACAAAAATATTTACACCTTTAAGTAAAAATATTATATTAAAAAAAACAACTTTGGATAGATATAAGTTTAATTAAAATGCCTTATTTCGACCCCAAGGATATATGGTGCTTTCATGTATTTCATATAAATTCCTTCTAGTTACATCTAAGTTAAGGATAAATAAAATCCCTAATAATGAAGCTGTCGCTACCAATAGACCAAACACAGACCGATTCAAGCAACTAGACAATTAGACCATGAGAATCAATGAAATTTAAACATACTAGTTTGCATGTTGGGCTTTATCCCCATTATTAGCGAATGATATGAAAACAGACCCTCTTTGGGTATTTCCTGTTTCTTTTAGTGCAGTATAGTACTGAAACAACTTTAACTTACCTTGAAAAAATGCATTATTTTATATTTCATATTTAATGATGTGCGTTTGAAGTGAAAAGGAATGAAATGTGGATTGAGGTGCGGTGCGCTAAGTCACACAATTTCTAATTTAAGAGGTTTTTAGATAGAAAACAAATAATTTTTATAAAACGATGAAAGATTCGGCTTTTTGAGAAAATTCATTTATAAAAATCACTACACCTTAAACTTTTAAGATTTGATTGAATTTTACTTTAAGCACAATTTTTATGGATAAAATGTAATATAAAACAAATCTAACATTTTATACCCCCACATTTAAAATGCCTACCATTTCATACTAATTTTGGGTATAAAGTGCTAGTTTTAGGCCTCTAAAGAATAAATTTATTTTTAACCATAATGCAAACAGTGTAGCAGTGCCACGCATCAGGTGATCCACTGCACCGTATATTGTTTTACTGCAGGCGTGCCCTATTTTAGATCCTGTTCTATATTTATTTGATACATGTCCACTGCATTCAGCGCACCTCATATGTGTTGCTATTACATTGTTTCAGTTAGCACTTGCATATTTATTAAAGGGATTAAAAAATATATATTAAACTCGGGGGATAAAAGTGGCATGTCCTGAAATTAGTTTAAAAACAGTAAATACGAATTTTCTTAATAAAAAAAAAACATTATTTGTGTTATAGAAATTACCTCTTTTCTCTGTGCAAACCCCTTATTGCAAATTCTGTAACAGTGTTGCACCTCATAAACACTTCAAGTACACATCTTCGATTCATTTGCATGAATATGATAATGATACCCAGAAACGAATGGAAATACTTGAAGAGTTGTTGGTGAAAATAAACCAATTTAGACTGTAGATAGTAGTTTTGTTTCCTTAAAAAGTTACATTTTCAATTTTTTTTACACTTCTTACAACTTAGTCACGTTTTAAGATATTTCAATGAAATTTTGATCTAAATTATAGAAGTCACAAAAACACCGTAAACAATCTTGTTTTTTTGCAACATTTTTCTTTTCTCATTCACAGGATTATACATCGGTAGAAGTTAACTTTTAAACTCGCTTTCAAATCTAAATCATATAAAATAATTTTAATATATGTAGTTATAAATTTAACAAAAAAGTGAAGTTAATTAGATTAGAATTACCTGCCACACTTAGCTGTCCATAAATGATAACTGCAGTAGAAAATTGAAAACCATTTTTCTTTACAATCAGGTATTTTAGTGACATGCAAGAAGTACATCTTTTTTATAGTAAAGTAAAATTTGTTTGCATTTTTTCATATTTTTTATGTAAGAAGTTTATGTTTATATCAGCTACTCTAAAAATAATACCCTGTAGACAATTTTTTTGGAACATGTTAATGTTAATGTTACGTCCGTGTTAGCAAACCGCGTGCTCCTTGGTTAACTGAAAATTTGAAATTGATTATGAATTTACGAGATAAAGCTTTACGTATTTATAAAAGGCGCAAAATACCTGAAAACTGGGACAATTACAAACAGTGGAGAAATCTTGCTTCTATTCTATTCTAAAATAAACACTTTTTTTATAAAGCTCTTAAGATGCTAAAAATTCAATGTACTAATGATTCTGAAATTCCAGCACATTTATGTAATCCGAACAGTATTAATGATTATCTAGTCTCAGTCTTTCAAAATAGTGATTACGTCTTTAAGTTTGCTTTTAATCTTGTCAATCATTCAGATGTACTTAAAATTATTTCAGAAATAAAATCAAACGCTCAAGGTGTTGATGGTGTTTCTCCTCAGATGTTGAGACTGTGTATGCCTGCTGTAGGGATATATGTCACTCACATTGTCAATAGCTGCCTGGAAAGGGGTTTTTTTCCAGATTCCTGGAAAACAGCTCTTGTAACACCTCTTCCTAAATGTCACAACCCAACGAATATGAGTGATCTGCGGCCCATTAGTCTATTGCCAATTTTATCAAAAATTTTGGAAAAAGTTGTTTACGGGCAAATAACAAAATATGTAATAGAGCATAATCTGTTTCCAGTACATCAGTCTGAATTTCGGAAGGGCCATAGTACGGCAACTGCCTTGGCAAATGTGACTGACAATATATTGTGTGCATTAGACATTGGGCAAGCTTCTGCATTGGTTCTTTTAGTTTTTACAAAAGCTTTCGATACAATTAATCATAAACTGCTTATCGCCAAATGCAAGTACTTAGGTTTTAACGGTGTCTCGTTGAACTTTTTAAGTAATTATTTAGAAAACAGATTCCAACAAGTAATATTGGATAATATTTCGACTGCCCAGCAAATCGTGTCGGGTGTGCCGCAGGGTTCAGTACTTGGGCCTTTATTATTTTTATTTTATACGTTCGACCTAACAAATGTAATTACAAAATGTAATGTTCAGTTTCTTGCAGACGATACACAGCTTTATCATCACTTTGCAACTGATAAGTCTGATGAGGCACTGACAACTATAAATGATGATTTATCCAATATTAATAACTATGCTATGTACAGGGTTCCCCATATTAGACTATGTAGTTTAAAAGTCGAATAAAAACTTTCTGATCAAAGTCAATTAACTTTTTAATGGACTGACATGTAGCTAATTTTATGGGATTTATGACTGAAATAAATAATAATTCAATTTTTAAAGATCATATCTTCCAAATGCCCTCCTTCGACTTCAATGCAATTTTGAATTCTAAGTTTAAAATTTCGTATTACTCGACGAAGCAAATCAAACCAATATTACCAAATGATGCTACACCATTAGGATCACATTTTAACAAGTAGGCGCCTGTCTCCAAGCTACGACAAAAGTAAAGACTTCATTGTTTTAGTCACAAATGTCACAACTTAATTTAATTTTAATTTTTTAACAATTTTCATTGCGTTATGAATTATTCAATTCAAGAGCGTGTGTTTTCCGTGGAAGTCTACATTAGAACTGGTTCAGTGGAAGAAGTTCGGCGTGCATTTCGACGGCAGTTTGGAAATAATAATAGGGGCGATGCACCAACACGCGTTACATTTTCGGCATGGGTTCGTCATTGGCGTGAAAATGGCTCTGTGCAAAACATTAAAAAACCTGGACGTCGAAGAACGGTGCGTACGCCTAAATATTGAACGAGTGAGAGCTGCCTTCACAAGAAGCCCTAAGAGATCTGCTAATCGGCCATCACTTGCCCTAGGAATATCCAAGGGAAGTCTCCACATAATTCTGCATAAAGATTTAAAATTTCACCCCTATAAATACCAAATGGCGCATCACCTCAGTGATACAGATAAAGAAGCGAGGTCGACATTTTGTCAAGAATTTTTAAATCAGCACCATGGAGGAATACATAATTTGCTAATGAGCGACGAAGCAAATTTTCATTTGTCGGTGTTGTTAACAAGAAAAACTTTAGGTACTGGGGAGCAGAAAATCCTCACGAAATGTTTACCAAAAACCTCCACAATCTAAAAGTCGTTGTGTGGTGTGGTGTAGCATCATTTGGAATTATCGGTCCATATTTTTTGAGGATGAAAATAACCGTCCTGTTACAGTTAATTCCGAGCGCTACATAAACATGTTGCAAACGTTTCTTATCCCCGAACTAACTAGACGGGGACTACTAAATGGTGCCATATTATTCCAACAAGATGGAGCTACAGCTCACACAGCCAGAAACACTATGAGGATTTTGCGAGATTTTTTTGATGGCCGTATAATTTCCCGATTTGGAAATTTGAATTGGCCCCTGAGATCTCCCGATGATTTAACGGCCCCAGATTTTTTTCTCTGGGGATACCTGAAGCAAAAAGTTTATGCAAGTCGTCCAGCAACAATTCTGGAGTTGAAAGAGCAGATTCAAAATAAAATTGCAGAAATAAATGGAAATTTGCTGCGTCGAGTGATGCAAAATTTTGAACTTAGAATTCAAAATTGCATTGAAGTCGAACGAGGACATTTGGAAGACATGATCTTTAAAAATTGACTTTATTATTTATTTTCGTTATAAATCCCATAAAATTAGCTACATATTAGTCCATTAAAAAGTTAATTTACTTTGATCAGATATTTTTTATTCGACTTTTAAACTGCATAGTCTAATATGGGGAATCCTGTATAAATCATAACCTATGCCTAAATCCCAATAAATCAAAAGTAGTTTTGTTTTCCACAAAGAAAAAACGTGAATACTAAAAAGCAAGTATGCGTATTAACATTGATGGTCAGTTGATTCCGT